TATTCCTTAGCAGAGGAGTGGATAAAGAAAACATAATATATATGTGCAATGTAATTATTTCAGATCAAGGGGATACAAATTGGAAAAGAAGTCAAACTCTCACTGTTTGCTGATGATATGATTGTTTACATAAGTGATCCCAAAAATTCTACCAAGGAACTTCTACAACTCATAAACACTTTCAGCAATGTAGTAGGATACAAGATTAACTCAAAAAAAAAAAAAAATCGGTAGCCGTCCTGTACACAGATGATGAAAGGACTGGGGAAGAAATCAAAGAAACATCACCCTTCACAATAGCCACAAATAGCATAAAATATCTCGGAGTAACTCTAACCAAACAAAAGGAAGACTTGTATGACAAGTCTTTGAAGAAAGAAATTGAAGAAGACACCAGAAAGTGGAAAGATCTCCCATGCTCTTGGGTTGGCAGAATTAACATAGTAAAAATAGCAATCTTACCAAAAACAATCTACAGATTCAACGCAATGCCCAGCAAAATTCTTCAAAGACCTTGAAAGAACAATACTCAACTTCGTATGGAAAAGCAAAAAACCCAGCATAGTCAAAACAATCCTGTACAATAAATGAACTTCTGGAGGCATCATAATCCCTGACTTCAAACTCTACTACAGAGCTACAGTACTGAAAACAGCCTGGTATTGGCATAAGAACAGACAGGAGGACCAATGGAACCGAATAGAAGACCCAGATATCAATCCACACATCTTCGAACACCTGATCTTTGATAAAGAAGCAAAAATATCAAATGGAAAAAGAAAGCATGTTTAACAAATGGTGCTGGCATAACTGGATATCAACATATAGAAGAATGAAAATAGAACGATATCTATCACCATGCACAAAACTCAAGTCCAAATGGATCAAAGACCTCAACATAAAGCCAACCACACTGAACCTCATAGAAGAGAAAGTGGGAAGTACACTTGAACACACTGGCACAGGGAACCACTTCCTAAATATAACCCCAGCAGCACAGACACTGAGAGAAACAATTAATAAATGGGACCTCCTGAAACTGAAAAGCTTCTGTAAAGCAAAGGACATGGTCAACAATACAAAACGATAGCCTACAGAATGGGAAAAGATCTTCACTAATCCCACATCAGACAGAGGTCTGATCTCCAAAATATACAAAGAACTCAAGAAACTGGTCATCAAAAGAACACATAAACCAATAAAAAAAAAAAAAATGGAGCACAGACCTAAACAGAGAACTCTCAACAAAGGAATCTAAAATGGCTAAAAGATACTTAAGGAAATGTTCAACATCCTTAGTCATCAGAGAAATGCAAGTCAAAACAACTCTGTGATTCTATCTTAAAACTGAAAGAATGGCCAAAATCAAAAACACTGATGACAACTTATGCTGGAGAAGTTGTGGGGAAAAGGAAACACTTCTGCATTGCTGGTGAAGAGCAAGCTGGTACAGCAGCTTTAGAAATCAGTATGGCGATTTCTCAGAAAATTAGGAAACAACCTTCCTCAAGACCCAGTAATACCACTTTTGGGTATATATCCAAAGGATGCTCAATCGTGCCACAAGGACATGTGCTCAACTATGTTCATAGCGGCTTTGTCATAGCCAGAACCTGTAAACAACCTAAATGCCCCTCAACTGAAGAATGGATAAGGAAAATGTGGTACATTTACACAACAGAGTACTACAAAGCAGAAAAAAATAACGACAGCTTGAATTTTGCAGGAAAATGGATGAAACTAGAAAACATTATTTTGAGTGAGGTAACCCAGACACAGAAAAACAATTATCATATATACTCACAGGTGTTTTTTAAATGTATTTCTTTATTAATTAATTAAAGATTTCTGTCTCTTCCCCACCGCCTCCTCCCCTTTCTCTCCCCCTCCCCCAGTCAAGTCCCCCTTCCTCGGCAGCCCAAAGAGCAATCAGGGTTCCCTGCCCTGTGGGAAGTCTAAGGACCACCCACCTCCATCCAGGTCTAGTAAGGTGAGCATCCAAACTGCCTAGGCTCCCACAAAACCAATAGGTACAGCAGGATCAAAAACCCATTGCCATTGTTCTTGGGGTCTCAGTAGTCCTCACTGTCCGCTATGTTCAGCTCAGTGAGACCGGTTTTAACCCAGGCTTTTTCAGCCCCAGGCCAGCTGGCCTTGGTGAGTTCCCGATAGGACATCCCCATTGTCTCAGTGTGTGGGTTCACAGGTGGTTTTTAAACATAAAGTAAAGAAAGCCATCCTATAAACCACAATCCCAGAGAACTTAGACAACAATGAGGAAACTAAGAGAGATTTACATAGATCTAATCTACACGGGAAGTAGAAAGTAGAAGAAGACAAAATCTCCTGAGTAAATTGGGAACATGGGGACCTTGGGGGAGGATTGAAGTACAGAGGGGAGAGGCAGGGAGGGGAGCAGAGAAAAATGTAGAGCTCAATAAATAACAATAAAAGAAAATCCCAAAAAAACAAAAACCAGAGATAGATGATGATGGCGCACGTCTTTAATCCTGGGAAGCATAAGCAGGTGAATCTCTGTGAGTTGGAGGCCAGCCTGGTCTATAGAGATACTCTGAGGACAGTTAGGGCTGTTACACAGAGAAACCCTGTCCCAAAACAAAACAAAACAAAACAAAACAGAGGTGGGAAGAGTGGGGAGTTAGCTGCACCAACATGGCAGCTAACTACCAATAACAACTCCAGTTCCAAGGGATGCGATGGCTGCTTCTGACCTCCAGTCACCCCGCTCACATGGTGAGACACATGCAGGCCAAACATCCACATGCCAAATAACAATAAACCTCAATGTCCACAATGGTAGTCTAACTTACATGTAAAGGCAGAAAAGCAATGCTATCTTAAAGCAAACCACTCACATGGACGAGGAAGAATCAACCTACCCATAGATAGATAGATAGATAGATAGATAGATAGATAGATAGACAGACAGACAGACAGAGAGAGAGAGAGAGAGAGAGAGAGAGAGAGAGAGATATCCAGCCAGCCATCGACCCACATACTAGAGGCCCAGTGGGATTCAATGGGGAAAGCAAAGCTCTTATTGTGGAGACAGTAACAGGTTTTTGTTGTTGTTGTTGTTTGTTTTTTTATTTTTCAAGACAGGGTTTCTCTACAGCTTTGGAGCCTGTCCTGAAACTAGCTCTTGGAGACCACGCTGGCCTTGAATTCATAGATATCTGCCTGCCTTTGCCTCTGCCTCCCGAGTGCTGAGATTAAGGCGTGTGCCACCACTGCCCAGCTGACAGTACCAGTTCTTAAGAATGGAATTTGTGTATTAAGGAACCTAGGCATTTGCTCTATCTTCATAAATAGCAAGATTTAAACAACCAAACAAGATCCGCCTCTTGCCAGTACCGGTAGCACAGGCCTGTAATCCCAGCACCTGGAAGGCAGAAGCAGGATGGTAGGTTTGAACCATCCTGAGCTACATGGATCTCTTCTAACCAAAGAGTATGGGATGAGTATGCTGCAGGGCTGACCCAGCTCACTACAAAACAAAAAACACACTGACAGAGCACACCAAAACAAAATCCTCGAAAGAGGCAATAATAGTACAATTAAGGTGTATCCCTTAATGTTTCATTCTTGTCTTTTTGCAAAGAATACTGATCTTAAATGTCATCTGGCTTTATAAAATGCACTTTGTTAAAATTTTGTCTTTCGCCAGACATTGGTGGCGCAGGCCTTTAATACCAGTGCTCAGGCAGAGGCAGGTGGATCTCCGTTAGTTCGAGGCCAGCCTGGTCTACATACAGAACAGAGTTCCAGGACAGCCAAGGTTACACAAAAAAAATCCTATCTCGAAAATCAAAAAAAGAAACAATGCCACCCAACAAAAAATGTCTTTCTACAGCAGACAATATCCTTACAATATAGCTCCTACCAACTTGGTCAGAACAGCTAATTTGAACTCATGAGATTAAAGTAATATTTTAATCAGGTGCAGTAACAAGGATCTGGAAAACATCGAATTTTCTTTTTTTCAATAAATGTCAAAGCTATGACAACTAATAAGTCTGACAGTTAACCGAACATATTCTGAAATCGTTCCATATGTCCCAAGCTCTAAATTTTGGCAGCTGGACTAGGCCATGATCTGAAATGTCAAAAGAAAGTTGTCATTTAATTCAAGCTGAATTCGGCAAATCCTCGGTGGTGGCCTACTTACATATTTAGTGCTTTGCTAGCACTGACCGAGGCTCCATTAAATTACAAACAAATGGAATGAAAGAAACCATGTCTGCAACTTCACGGGAAAGAGACACATCTCATTTTCCCATTCTACTTCCGAACGTGATACCAAAGGATCCAGCAAAGAGCAGAGGGTAACAGCAAGGAAATCTCAGCACAACAGAAGTGTAGGCTCGTTTGTCAGTTACAAATCCTATATCCTCTTCTGGTAACCCACTGCACACTGCGTAAAGTTTACCAAGAATTAAGGATCAGCTAAAAAGGTACAGTTTTTAGCCCCAGCCCGCCTGCCTTTCAAAGAGTCTTTCCCTGATCCTCCCGTCAGGACAAATTAAAGACTGTTATTTTGAGGCACAAGGTGATGACTTCTCTAAAGGAGAGTGTAGGCCCCAGGTAGTCAGGTCAGGCTCCCGACGCCGGGAGGGGAAGCGAGCCCAGCCCCCGACCAGGTCCCCGAGCCCAGGAGTTTCGAGCCGCCGCTCCGGCTCCGGCGACCACGACGGGACAACGCACGTACCCTGACCCAGCGGGCGGCGGCGGCCACCCGCCACAGCATATGGAGCTCAGGGCTGCCCGGCCTCCCCGCGCGCCGCGCTGGGCCTGGCGGAGCTGCCGAGGGGTCGACGCCTCCTCCCCGCGGCCGGGTGCACGTGGGCCGAGGCCGCAGGCCCCCGAGACGCCGCGACCGGCCGCGGAGACCGTGGGTCGAGCTGGGTGCTCCCCGGGCCGGCGAACGCGGAAGCTGGGCCCGCGCCGGGGCCGCCCTGCGGCGCGGAACCGACACTCACCGTGCCTCCGTCCTTAATGATGATCTTCTTGGCCAGCATGATACTGCGGTTCGCGGCCCGTTTCTTTTTCTTCCCCTGGGTCATTTTACCATCCTCGACTCCCGGCGCTGCAGCAGCCACTCAGGGGGCGGGAGGCCCCAGCGGCGAGTGCTGTCCCGCCACTACTGCCGGGCCGAGCCGCTCCGGGCGCACGCCGCCATCTTGAGGGCCCGGCCTGCCTCCGGCGGCGCGTCACATCGTGCGATGGGCTGAGTCGCCCGCCCCGCCCCCGTGACGCAGCCCCGCCCCCGCACGCGGCCACGCCCCTCAAAGCTGCACTAACGGAGGGCAGGGAGGTGTCCTGGGGCCGGGTGGGGCCAGGTCCCTGGACTAGCTGGCTGGTTCCTTCTTTCTAAGGTGCTGAGCAGCGGGTATGATAACTGTTTCTCCTTCGCAGATGAAAGAACTCAAGTTTCAAAAGTTATTACCTGCTCAAATCTGACAAAGAGTTTCTCAGAACCTCTAAATAGGCGTCCCAAACTATGCGCATCCGCGTCAACTGCTTCCCCACAGAAACAGAACTGAAGGCAACAGAAATAGCTTTACAGGAATGGTTGGTAGTACGTAGAGGGTTGTTTTGTATTTTGTTTTGTTGTTTGGATTAGCTATTGATTTGATGCTCAGCTTGGACGTGCTGGCTTACACACACACACACACACACACACACACACACACACACAGTCCCAGGACAATTGCCCCTTCACCCGCCCCACCAATCTAAACAAGGTAATGTCACACTTTTAAGGCTTTTGTTTATAGAAATCAGTTTGACTAGAAGACTATTAGAAACAGCATGGATATAAATTGAATATGAAATAGAAAGTAAGCCAGCGCCTTTAATCCCAGCACTGGGGTGGCAGAGGCAGGTGGATCTGAGTTCGAGGCCAACCTAGTATAGAGGACAAGTTCCAGGACAGGCTCCAAAACAACACAAAGAAACCCTGTCTCGAAAAACAAAACAAAACAAACAAACAAAAAATAAAGTACTACCACAGTGCTAACTTTGGTAGGAGGGGGAGGCAGGGGTTTATGTAGACCAGGTTGGCCTCCTACTCAGATATTCTCCTGACTGCCTCCTATGCTGTGATTAAAGGCATGTGCTACCATGCCTGGCAAAATTTTGATTTTAGCAATTGTTTTGAAGAGCTTTTCCTTAAGTGTTAGCTAGTGAACGAGCACAACGCAAGCTATCCACCCTCCAACTGTTCCATGAAGGGAAGCTGGTGTCAAAGCAAACGGGCGAACAGTGCACCTGGATGTGGTGGCTCTAAGATAGTTCACAGACAAAAGAGCCCTCCCTGGAAGAAGTGGATTAGGCTCCCTCTCCTGCTGTGTGGCCTGGTTGGTGATGCCCTTGTTTTAACAGAGTGAAGCAGACTTCAGAGGTGAAGTGACTTCAGAGGCTAGGTCATAAAAGGTTTTGGTAGGGTTTTCATTCACTCCAAGTCAGGGAGTCACTTGGTAATGCCATGAGACTACAAGTGCTATTGAGGTGCAGTTGTCGAGGAGCTGAAAACCCCTATGATCATTTTGGCAGTAAATCCTCTAGCCCTGGTCAAGCCTTGAGCTTACTGCAGACAGCCTGACTACAATTCTGAGACCTTCACCTAGGACCATCCAGCTTAGTCACAGTACTGGACTAGGGATGCAGTTCTTGTGGAGTCCCTACCCTCAGCACAGGGCTGAGGATTCTATCCCCAATGATGGATAAACCCAGAATGGAAGTGCATGCCTGAACCCTGGTGAAAGCAGCAGAATTAGAAATTCAAGGGCAAATCTGAGACCAGCCTGGGATACATGAGACCCTGTCTTTAAAATGAGTGAGGGGGTAGATGTTTCAGGTCACCAAACTCTGGGGCTGTTTGTTTTGTTTCCGTGGCTGTAAGGAACTAATAGGCAAGGTAAAGGAGAAAGTATAGGGTCCAAGTGAATGTGTGCGTTACTGCAGCTTCTCTGAAAATTTCAAAATAAAAAGAGTAAATTTGATTGGATTCCTTTATTCCTTCTATTTCCCTGCTGACAAGAAATGGAAACCAAACGAATGTCATGCGTGAGACAGGAAACATCTTGACCTGATAAGTAAGAATTTATTATACTTACTTTAAAAATAAAATTCATACATAGAAACTTTTGAGTCTTAACTGGAAGCTGTTGAGAGTGAGACAGACTTCCTAAGTAATTCCAGGATCTTACTTTGGATAGGCGTGAAGGGCTGGGATTATTATTGTAAACTAGGTGTTGTTGTACACACCTGGGATCCTGGCGATTGTGATGGAGAGACAGATCGGTCCTGAGTTCAAGGCTGACCAATGTAACAAGGTAAAGCTAGCCATGGGCTACATGAGAGCCAGTCCAAAAAAAAAAATTATTGTAATTTACTCCAACTTTCATAACCTCTAAAAATCATACTTCAGCTATACTAAAGCTACTGGCCAGCTATTCAAAGCCATTTGAGTATCTACAACAGTGTCCATCAGCTTTTCTTAGACTAGGGTTGAAGTATGTCTGTATGTTCCCAATACATAAAAATAATACAACTAGGGCAGTGGTGGTGCACACCTTGAATCCCAGCGCTCAGGAAGCAGAGGCAGGCAGATCTCTGAGTTCAAGGCCAGGTCTACAGAACAAGTTCCAGGACAGCTTGAGCTGTTACACAGAGAAACCCTGTCTCAGAAAAAAGAAATGCCACAACTAAAAAGACTAGAATGGGGGTGGAGGTGGGGGGGTGCATGTGGAAGTGTTCACTGAATGGAAGCACACAGACAATTTGGTGAGAGTCAATGTGAACAAATCAAGTTTAGACCAGCAACAACAAAAGGAGCTCTGAAAGCAAAAGAAAGCACAGTGGGTGTTGAGGTGATCACTGAGAATGGAAAAACCTCTGAAAAGCTTTACAGAAACGGAGAACACGGTTGTGTAGGAAAAGACCACAGTAAATATAGTGACACACATATGTTCGTCTTTCAGAAACAGAACTATAAGCTGGGAGAAATTATTCCCCACAGAAGGTGCTGGGGAATGGAGTTGGACTGGCATGAGAGCTCAGCAGACTCCTCTGTGAACTATGATTTCTTTGCCTCACATATTTTAAGCCTTTAAATCAGGTTAAATGGTTTGCATATTCAATAATAAAGGATTAAATTTACGAAACTGGATACAAAACTAGTGAACCTATTCTTATCACACTATTAACCTGCAGAGAAGACCTGACTTCCATTAACTCCTCCCCACCCCCACACGGTCTCATTGTAGACCTGGCTGGTTAGAACTAGTTCTAGGTCACACCAGAACTCACAAAGATCCTCCTGCCTCTGAATCCTGAGATTAAAAGTGTGTGTTACCATGCCTGACCTTAACATTTACTTTTAAATACATCCTTTGAATATATATCTTTAGTTGACAGTGTTAGGATTCAGGCATTATGCTGGCCTGCCTGTCATCTGGCAGGATGTACCCTGCCTGTATCCTGGCCAACCCAGGGTCCTAGTTTGTACGCAGGTGCAAAGGTTCCTTTAAGAGACAAGCTTCACCCACTCCTGGTGTCCGGTATCCACCCCTTCCTCTGAAGGGGCAGGCAGGACTTTTCCTGCTTCTCTTCTCTTCCTTTCTACCATTGTCTCTACAGAGGCAGCTTTCTGTCTGTCTGTCTGTCTTTCTCATTCTCTCTTCCCTTCCCATTTTCTTTATTTCAATAAACTCCACACTCAAACTCTGTATGACATGTTTGTCTGTCTCTCACCCACATGGTCCTCACCCACCATGGGGCCTGCCAAGGTCATTTTACAACAGACAGGCTACATTCTAATAATCAAAGTGCAAATACACTTTGAACTTCACAGAGAATGTTTGTCATTGGAATACTGGTTTTGTAGCATTTAAACTCATAACAAGCCATGAATATGTTAATATTAAGAGCCAAATTGTTTCATTTTAAGAGGATCGTCAGATATAACTAAAAACAATGATTTAGCTGGGCGGTGGTGGAGCACACTTTTAATTTCAGCACTTGGAAGGGAGAGGCAGGTGGATCTCAGTGAGTTTGAGGCCAGCCAGGACTGTTACACTGAGAAACCCTGTCTCAGAAAAAAAGGAAAATATGATACTAAATTTTAATGCCTGTAATTCCAGCATTCAGGAGGCAGATGAAGAAGGAACACAAGTTTAAGGCCTACCTTAGCTGAACAGGAGAGTTCCAGGCTACACTGTGTCTTTTCTAAAAATAAAAGCAAAGAAACCCACCCATAAATTCAGCTGAAAACACTGATTGTAATGCATAGTCTTAAAAAGATGAATTGGCCAGGTGGTGGTGGCACATGCCTTTAATCCCAACACTAAGGAGGCAGAGGCAGGCACATCAGAATTAAAGGCCAGCCTGGTCTACAAAGCAAGTTCCAAACAGCCAAGACTGTTACATAGAGAAACCCTGTCTATAAAAAACAAAAATAAACAAATAAAAATTTAAAAAATAAATTTAAAAAACAATAAAAAGATGAACTGTAGCTGAACATTGTGGGCTATGACTTTTGATCCCAGAACTCAGATACAGAGGTAGGTGGATCTCTGTGATTTCCAAGCCAACCTGGTCTACATAGCAAGTTCTAGTATAGCCAGGACTACATAAAGAGACCCTGTCTTTAAAGAAACAAAAAAGTAAAATATTCTTGCCTAAGTACATTAACCCAGAGCTAGTTTAGCCTATGACCTGGCTTCAAGCTAAATAATAATAATAATAATAATAATAATAATAATAATAATAATAATAAAATAAGAAAGAAACCAAGTCAAGCAAAGGACATCCACACAGGAAGTATGAGAGTCTGTGAGTCTCCAAAAGTCCTGTCCTGGGGAAGGAGTAGACACTGGGGAACAGTGCTTTAGACTAAATAGCAAATACAAACTTTAACTGTATCCTTCAAAGCCAAAATCCGTAAAAAGCCATTTTTAAGGCATCTGGAACCATTGTGGTCTGAACTTGGTAAACTCTGAGTTGAGTTTCCTTAAGTGTGACGAAGGAACTGAGGAGCAAGGAGAAGGCTATTTCGGGGGGATACACACAGAAACACTTAGGGGTCATGTCCTGGCCGAGGCCAAGTTCTGAAAGCTGTTAGTAGTTACATTTGGGCGATATGTTAATCTTTCAACTTTTATGTCTGTTTCAAAATGAAAAGTTAGTTAAAACTTAATTTAAAAAGATGGGACTAGAGACCTGGCTCAGTGGTTAAGGGTACTTAGTTATTCCTGAGAAGACCCGAGTTTGGGTCCTCGCAGCCACATCTGGTAGCCACCAGTAATCCGAACTTCATGGCATCTGACACTCTTCTGGCCTCCACTGGTACCCACCCTCACATACAGTTATCCATACACAGACATGTGCTCATATGCAGAATTAAAACATATTAGAATTGTTTACTGGGGCAGGTGAGATGGCTCAGTTGGTAAAGGTGCTTGCTGCCAAGCCTAATGCTCTAAAGCGGATCCCAGAGCCCAAGTTTATACACACAAACTCTCCCCTCTGACTTCCACATTGGCAACCATGTCACACCCCTCCCACACACACAAAATGTTTTTAAATGTAGTTTAAGGGGACTGGAGAGATGGCTCAGCGATTAAAAGCATTGGCTGCTCTTCCAAAGGACTGGGGTTCAACTCTTAAGAACCTACCATGTTATAGCTCACAACTATCTGTATGTAAATTCAATTCCTTGGGGTACCTTGTTGGCCTCCTTAGGCACTAGGTATGAAAATGGTGCACTGATCTACATTTGGGCAAAATACACATAAAAAAGTAAAATGTAATTTAAAAAATTATTTTAAATGCTCTGTCTGGTGTGATAGGGAAGACCAGAGCCTGGAAGGCTATGGCAGCAGGGGCCATTTGAAGTTAGTCTCAGCTACATAGCTTTAAGATAACCCAGGTTAAATCATGAGACCCTATCTCAAAACTAAAATCAACAATCAAAGGAGTTCTTTAACAATACTATCTTTGTGAGTTCACTGATATAGCCCATAAATTGTTCACGTCTACACTGCACAGTCCTTCACAGCAAGATTAAAGTCACTGAAGGGACAAATGTCACATAAAACCAAATATTTAAAGCCAGGTGGTGGTGGGTCATGCCTTTAATAGCAGCACTCAGGAGGCAGAGACAAGAGGATCTCTGTGAGTTTGAGGTCACGCTGTTCTACAGAGAGAGTTCCAGGACAGGCTCCAAAGCTACAGAGAAACTATGCTTCAGAAAACCAAACACACACACACACAACCCCCAAATTTTTAAAACAAAATCAAATTTAACTGACAAGGAAAAAAGAGACAAATAACAAATAAAGAACGAAACGACTCTCAAAGATATAATTAAAAAGAAAGTGAAAAGGAAAGGAGGAAGGAAAAGAAAGAGAGGAGACGGAGGAAGATGAGACTGGGAGACGCAGGCTGACCCTCAGACTTGCTGTAGCCCACACTGACGTCAGCCTCCAGAAGGCTGGGATTACAGGCTTGCACCAACACATCTAGCTTGTGATGTGCTTCTAGCAAAAGCAGCATCCTTTTTTTAAGATTTGGGGTGGAGTCAGGGTCTCAGTACGTAGCCCTGGCTGTACTGTAACTCCCTATATGGACCAGCATGGTCTCAAACTTAAGGGAACTTACTACTTCTGTATGTCACCATGCCTTGCAAACTTTTATTTATTCCTTTATTTTTTTATTTAGTTACTTATTTGAGATAGGATCTCACTATGTAGACCAGGGTGGCCTCATACTCACAGAGATCCACCTGCCTCTGCCTCTCAAGTCCTGGGAATAAAGGCGTGTGCCACTATGCCTGGATTTTATGACTTTACATTATGTGTAGGTGTGTGTTTTCACGTGGCTACAAGAGCTGGTGGAAAAGAGAGGCCTCAGATCCCCCGGGCTTCCTAGTGTGAGTCCTCTGGAAGAGCAGTACATGCTCTTAACCACTGAGCTAGCTCTCCAGTCTCAGAAGAAATACTCTAGCACAGAAAGTAACATCTGAGTTTCAGTTACTGCTTTTCATGAGAACTTAGGAAAGATACCTTCATTTGTAAAATGCTGAGATTTTTATCCTTTCTTTGCTGTTAAAGTATTCCATGTGTGGCTACATCAGAGTAGAAGTGGGGATAAATGTGGGTGTCACAACAGAAGCGATTACACTCAGGCAGAGAAGGAAAGGTCCAGAGTAACAACTGAACCTCACTGGCAGCAAAGAAGTATTTATTTATTTATTTTTGGTTTTTCAAGACAGTTTTTTATTGTTGTTGTTGTTGTTGTTGTTTTGTTTTTGTTTTTGAAGACAGGATTTCTCTGTAGCTTTGGAGCCTGTCCTGGAACTAGGTCTTGTAGATCAGGCTGGCCTGGACCTCACAGAGACCTGCCTGCCTCTGCCTCCCAAGTGCTGGGATTAAAGGTGTGTGCCACCACTGTCCAGCAACAAAAAAGTATTTTATTTCAAAGAAAATCCTTTGGGGCTGTGATCACTATGTAGTCAGAGAAATTCTAAGTACTCTGGCTAAAACAAAGAAAAGGAAGAATTACATGTGATGATACCAAGTTACCAGGAGATGAAGATGAGCAAGTCACTTCTGAAATATAAAAATAAGAAACTAATCCACAGATTAATCAGACACAGGTAAAAAGGGAGAGCGGGGACTGGGGAAATGGTTCAGTGGTTAAGAGCACTAGCTGTTCTTCCTGTGGACCCAGGTTCAATTCTCAGCACCCATATGAGAGTCCGCAACCGCCTGTAACTCCAGTTCCAGGGGATCCGATATCCTCACACCAATGTATGTTGAATAAAATAAATTAAAAAACATAAGAGAAGGGAAAGCAGAAATATAGGAAAATGCATATAGTTATTTATGAAAAGAATCTATTTCCCTTATCTATTAAACATAGGTAATAATGGATACAAAAAAATTGACATGAGGAATTTATCATTTAAAAAGTCACTTAATAAAATACCAGTTTATACATTCCTTTGAATTATATTTATAAAAATTTAAACATACAAATCACATTCCCAAACCCCAAAGAATTACTTTATGTAAATGAAGTACAGACATAGATCAATTTAGGGTCAAAATTATTTTAAAAATATTGTTCCAAATCACAGCAAATTATCTTTTACAGGAAAAAACAACAAACAGACATTTATAGACTGTTGTGAAAGTCTCAAACCTGAACCATAGTGCAGGTGTCACAAATCACTTAAACAAGTGCTATTCAGATACACTGATAGGATACTTAGTATCCGTTTGCTAAATAATGGATTTAAAGAGCAAATGTTGAAACAACCAAAAGTTAGAATTATAGTTATTCAATTTTTTTAAAAAAAAATCCCAATTTCAAGTATGTATCTAAAGTTGTAAATTACAGAAATAGTCTCCACAAAAGTCAGGTATTTATTTGGTAAAGCAAGGCACATAGGACCAGATTGTGGTAAAGGTGCATTTTCTTTGGCCCTATAACTACTTTAAATATCTTGGAGATTCTTGAGATGACTTTCAATATAATATAAACACTTTTTATAAATTCAATGTAAAGCTATATCTCTAGAAATTAAATATTTTTTACAATGAATGTTTAAATAGAATGAGTGATGCCAAGCCATTCTTTAAAAACAAAAGAAAGCTCACATGGGACTAAGAGCACACACCTTAAATCCCCTCAGTTGGGAGGTAGAGGCAGGCAGATCTTTGTGATTTCTAGGTCAGCCTAGTCTACATAGCAAGTTCCAGGTCAGCCAGGGCTACAGAGTAAGACCCTGCCACAAAAACAAAACAAACAAAACAAAACAAAACATCTCAGTTGAATGATTGCATAAAGACATTTAAAGTCTACTAACTTGATTTGTAAGAATAGTCAGTATTCTACTTAAGTGTTCAGTGCAGAATGTCAATTTTCTTTTGGAATTTCTTAATATATTCTGGTTTAAATATCAAACTGCCTTTTCTTTCTATGAAATTCTGTGGGATTCCATAGGAATTGAGGTAAACATTTAGGTTCTGCATTTTTAAACTATGTATTCTATTACAAAAGTAACTTACAACTGGAAAAGCATTCAGTAAAGAGCTGCTATGCTGCACTGAAGGGCCTGCTGGTGCATCAAGCTCTCTGCCTAACTTTAATGTGGGTCTCAGCTGGCACTCATTCTCCATAAATTCACACATTCCATATCAGTGAAAATAGCTGAGAAACAAGTACACCTTTAAAAGCATAAAATTTAAATAATCTGTTATTATAAAAGCATGACACAATCGCACTTTTGAATGTCATCAAAACACAACCCACATTAAACAAAATTTCGGTATCAATATGTATGATACAATCTAGTCTACAAGCCATTTTTCCCTAAGTGTGATTATTTCCTTATAAAATTTTAAACTTTATATTCAGCCCAATAACATTTTTAACTGACTAGAAAAGAACAATATAAATGATACCTAATAAAAATTTTCAGACACCTGAAATGTATTATTACTTTAACAACCTTGATACCCAGTAACTTATTTGTATTGTAGGGTTAAGACAGGGGTAGACTAGATCTAAGTAACCATTAATTGTGAATCCACATTGTATTAGCACAGTTGACCATACAACACTTTAATGTGAACTGAATATGGATCTGTACTCATGAATTTTCTCTATTTGCAAGACCTAGGCTGCATTTAGTTGTAGGTCCTAGACATAGCTTGAATGTTGTGGTATCTTACACCACGCTCAAAATGCAATTGTTCAACCTCTATAGGGTGGTCACTGAAAAACATAAACCTGGTATCACTCTGTTATTGCTGATGCAATGACTTTAAACACTTTGTAATTTCAAGTACTTTGAAAGTGAATGGAATTGGTCAGGCATGTACACTGTGGAGAGTACATCTGCACTAGCAAGATCAAACAGCCAGTCCAAGTTAGCCAAGGGTACCTTACAGTACATAACAAAAGTACTTCTGAGTCAAATTCCATTTAACAAAATCTATTAGAACTACATAAAAAATTGTCATCTCCTTATAGGTTTGTATCTATTAGAACAAACTTTATATATATATATAATATAAATGAAAAAATAAAGTAAAATACATTTTATATTCAATAGGTAATTCTGCATATAGTCAATAATTAAATAACTTATATTCCAAATATAGAATTATTATTTCCTCCCAGTTCATTTTACTATTTCTAATATATTCTCTCTTTTGAGTCAGCTTATTAAATAACTCATAATTTGTATCCTCAACTCCAGTGTTAAAAAGAAACAAAATGTACTATTTTAGAGCAAACGGTTGCTCCTTCCCAGCAGCACTCATGGGGACAGAGTGAGGGAACTCAGAATGCCGCCATCTCTTCCAGACACGTGATCATGTTATTCCTAGGGATGGTGGGCTCTTAAGACTTAAAATTTTCTAAATAGCCTTTGAACTTAAATTATAGTGCTACTTAAAATACCGTAGCGAGATGGGCAGGGTGACCCAGACCCTTAATCCCAGCACTTGGGAGACAGAGCTGTTGGTAGATCTCTGTGAGTTTGAGGCCAGCCTGGTCTACATAATGAGACCCTGCCTTAAGTAACAACAACAACAATAAAAATGGCAGTAGGAAATGTCTGTAAGAAAGTCAGTTTGTTCTTGGTTCACTAATATGACTAATACTACTTTTTTGATTGTTGCTTCTGCCAATAGTGACAGATTGAAAGAAATTCCTACTGCAGAATAACGAGAAAATTCTCCATTTCAAAACTATATACAGTATATACTTCATAGTTCAGATTTCTCCACATGGGGATTGGACAGTAATTGTTATTTTATTTTCAATTATTAAATGAGTATTTAATCCCTTTAACTTCATTAAAAATTTAACGGCAACACACACAAATTCAATTTAAGGTGATACTAAGAATTTCTCTTAAATATGGAAAAGAAATACAACTGGAAAATGATAGGTAAAACTTCATTAGTGTCAAAGTCACTGGCTACTCCAGCATATAAAGAACCAAACTGCATTCAGCTGTCTCAAAGCAATAAATGGTCTAAGATACACAGGGAGAAATAGATTCTCTCTACACTAAATTTAAATATGAATCAAACCCAGACTACTACTTTATCAAGTTTTATGTAATTTAACAAATAACATTTAGCAATCATTTGCTTAGCAATCTTCTATGAATATAAAAATCCCAGATACATGAAAATGGTTTTAAATTATATTTGTTTGTTCACAGCTTTATAGGCAGTTATAATTTTCTAACTTTGAATAGTCCATGTAATTTGATATATCTGTACAGAAAAAGTAAGATTAAAAATATGTGATAAGACTAAGTAGATCTACCTTGCAAACATTGGTATTTGCATTTGTGTGCTCTTCCAAAGGCTGCACTGGACAGTTCTGCAGCAACCAAAAGGGTGAAGTCATTATGAGCTCAGACTTCAGGCCCCTCCCAGTATCCCTCTAACCCTACTCTCTGGACACACTTCCAAGTTTGGGTTTCCAGATGATGTACACATTTTGTCCTGAAGCCTACACATTTTCAAATCATTTGAACAGTATGATCAGACTTAGCATGATGTTATCTTCACAGAATCTGCCGAAGTCCTCTGTGCACAATCAATGTTGAGATTCCTAGGGCACCGTCGTGAAAAACCAGCTCAAGATAGTACATGATTATGCTTTAGTAGGATTTCCTGCAGGTTTGGGATCATAACCGTATAAGAAAGTAGCTGCTATTACAAGGATGGCTCCAAGGAAAAAGACACTATAAATAGGTTGAAAAAAAAGAAAAAGATCAAGTCAGATTAAAAGCAAATTAAGTTCTTTCTATATATGTAATATAAAAACAATTGCAATTTTGGAAAGAAATATATTCCAGTAACAGCAATAAATGTTGAGTACATTCTGTGTTCCAGGTGCTTGGCTAAGTACTTTGTACCTTTGGGAAAAGGGCTTAAAGGACTTGAAAAACTTGCCCAAAAGTCCCAAATAAGTAGGAGGTAGGACGGAGTGCAGACGCAGGTTTTAAGCCTGCACTCTCATCCACTGCACTGAAAAGAGTGCAGTGCCTCACCTAATGTATATTCTGTATGGGATTCGTTCAGGAAGAAAACGCCCAAAGCTTAAAAAACAAAGAGTACAAGGAAAAGTTCATTCTTGTATACAAAACTTAGGTGAATTCAGTCCAGAATCCAAGGTAATAATAACCAAAGCTCAGGACGAATATTTACAGGGTGTTTAACAAGAAGGAAATCAGAATCACGTTTTCCTCTTGATTCTATGTATGTAGAGATAAAATCTACTTCATAGAAACTGGATATAACCCCCACTAGCAATCATAACTTGTTATATATACATTTTTTTAGCTGCCAGAAGCATGGATTAGTTTTGGCTTTAAGATTTCTATTAATGGGGGGCAGGAGAGATGGCTCAGTGGTTAAGAGCACTGATTGCTCTCCCAGAGGACCAGGGTTCCATTCCCAGCACCCACAGGGCAGCTCACAATTGCTTATAACTTTAGTTCCAAGGGATCTGGAACTAAACATGTAGGTAAAAAATAATGCACATAAAATAAAATGAAATAAAATAAAAAAGATTTCTATTAATGGTTCAAAGTCAAAAAAAGAAAAGAAAGAAAACCAAAAGGACAAGCGTCAGCATCATTACCCTTCCTATAAAAACAGAAGCTTTGTTTTGCTCTATTTGTTACAGGGTTTCACTATGTAGCCCAAGCTGGCCTCAAAGTTCCTATGTGCCAGGGTATTCCAACCAACAACATCCTCCACACTCTTCCTATCCATTCTAGAAATGTGGCCCATGACTCCATGTATTGTTCCATGACACTGTCACGGTAGACACTAGTCTCTCAGGCACAATTTCCTTCTGTTAACAAGTGTTTATTGACAATGCTTCGGGTCTACTGTCCAAGACTCCTCTAGAGTGAGCTACTCTAATGCTTATCGCATTGTGATTAATTACTACACTGTTTGAGTATTTGTTACTCTGATCAGTTATGTACTCTTTATTGTTTATAAACAGAAAACCTATCATACTATGATTATTTCAATGATTTGAGCCCCTTCTTTAATGAGTTGTATACATACTTCTGTTGACACTCATAATTTGTCTTGTGTTTGGTTTTTAGTCACTGTGACTTTTTTGAACATAACCACCTCATTCTTATGTTTCTTTTTTCCAGAATCCAACAGAGTGATTGCAGGCATAGAGTGGCCATTTATTAAACTTTTGGAAAATTATATAAATAATTAAACCTAAATGGAATCATGGTAATACTAACAGCAAAATAAGACATACAGGAAAGAGTAAGAATAAAAAGAAAAAAAAATAAATAGAAAAGAGTATTTACCTGGTTGGCACAAAATCTTGCAACCAAAAATAGGATATAATTGTTGACAATATTATGGATAAGGAGGTCGCAAATCCTTTTAAAATATTATCTGCATACTTAATGACAGCAGCTATTACAAGGCCTCCAAGTGCCTGTAAAAGTTTTAAGAGAATAATTTTTAAATGAACATAAAACTGCTTTTCACAACAATTTCATATCTCAGGGAAGGTTTAAGGCTTGTTCTATAAATCTAATTATATCCTAGCAAATGATTCATATGACATAAAAACAACAGACTCACAGTTGTTTCTTTTTTTTAATTTTATTTATTATGTATTCAGTGTTCTGTCTGTGTGTATCCCTGCAGGCCAGAAGAGGGCACCACATCTCATTACAGATGGTTGTGAGCACATGTGGTTGCTGGAAATTGAACTCAGGACCTTTGGAAGAGCAGGCAAAGCTCTTAACCACTGAGCCATCTCTCCAGCCCCCAGTTTTGTTTCATAGTCCTCAATGTAACCATCAAATAGAATATGGTCAGTTACAGAAAGTCTATTTTCACCAAATTCAGTAGCTAAACACTTGTCTGGACAGCTGAAGGACAAGTGCACAGGAGGTTTACGTCTGCATAAAAACCCTTTTTTACTATCTTTCCAGCAGTCTTCTCTTTGCCTTCTTTAATTTTCTCTCCATTCTATTTTTGTTTGTTTTGTTTTTGTTTTTCGAGACAGGGTTTCTCTGTGAAACAGTCCTGGAAATCAGTCTAGACCAGGCTGGTCTTGAACTCAACAGAGGTCCCCTACCTCTGCTTCTTGAATATTGGAATTAAAGGTGTGCACCACCACTGCCCAACTTCTCTCCGTTCTAATCTACCTCTTATTGCTGTCAAGGTATACAGTTTGGTTTTTTTTTTTTTTTTTTTTTTTTTTTGCAGTGCTGGAGACTGAACCCCCAACCTATCACATGGTAGGTAAATTCTCTACCACTGAGCTATCCCCACAGCATATAAAGAACCTTCTACCAAATCATTCTCAAATTCTAGATTGTGACCACCTACAAATGGGAGATGGGAGAAGCTGGAGAGATGGCTGGGTTAAGGGTGCTTGCTTCTTGAAGAAGATCTGGGTGTAGTTCCCAGCACCCATATCAGGCAGTTTACAACCATCTGTAACTCCAGTTCCAGAGGTTCTGATGCCTCTTCTGACCACTGCATGCATTACGTGTACATGATGGACAACATACACTCAGGTACACAGAGACACACAAATTAAACAAGTTTTTTAAAAAATACAAACTTAATAAGTAACAGGTAGCTCAGTAGTAAAGTACTTGCAGCAGAAAAATTCAAAGTTATATTTACTCTTAGTTTTGACTATCCTGGAGTTTGCTATATAGACCAGGCTGGCCTTGAACTCATAGATGTCTGCCTCCAGGGTGCTGGGATTAAAAGTGCCCGCCACTATGTCACATAACTATTTAATTATTAAACTTAACATTTTTATGGAGCTTGAAAGATGACTCGGAGATTAAGAGCCCTGGTTGCTCTTCCAGAGGACATGCGTTTAGCTACCAGCCCTCACTTTAGTGGCACACAACCATTTGAAACTCTAGTTCCAGGGGATCTGACACCTCTCTTCTCCACACTCCCTTTTAGTTGTTTAATTTACACTGATTCTTATTTCATTTTTTTTAAAGAAAACAAACTATCTTTTCATTTTACATACCAATCCCAGTTCCCACTCCCTCCCCTCTTCTCATTCCCTCCACCTCCCCACCTCCATCTACTTCTCAGAGAGGATAAGGCACAATGCTTTGGGGAAGGTTCAAGGCCCTCCTTACTACACCTAGGCTGAGCAAGGTAGCCATCCAAAGAGAATGGATTCCCAAAAAGCCAGTACAAGTAGTAGGAATAAATCCTGGTGCCACTGTCAGTGGCCCCACAGTCTTCCTCGGTCATGCAACTGTCACCCACATTTAGAAGGTCTAGTTTCTGACCACTCCTTTAACTAGCATGGGCATCAAACACATTTGGTGAATATACATACAGGTAGACAACACATTGATACACAAAAAAGCAAATAAATCTAAAAGTAACAACAACAACAACACTAATATTTGCGTTTCATGGCACTGAACTTAAAATACCATGGAGTTTTATTCATGACCGCTTTTGAAAATCAGCTTCCATGAGGACATTAAGAACAGTTATATTTTAACTTCTCTGAACAGAGCAGATATGATGAAAATAGGAAGGACCTTCCTTACCCCCTTAAATACCAACACTAGTACCCACTTTAATTCTCTGTCCTGAACCAATATTCAGTAGCATTAAATAAAAGACATATGCTTGCCGGGCGTGGTGGCGCACCCCTTTAATCCCAGCACTTGGGAGGCAGAGGCAGGCAGATCTCTGTGAGTTTGAGGCCAGGCTGGTCTACAAGAGCTAGTTCCAGGACAGGCCCCAAAGCTACAGAGAAACCCTGTCTCGAAAAACAAAAAACAAAAACAACAACAACAACAAAAGACATATGCTTTACCTGCAGAACAACAACTATCCACGTCAGTTGATTATATCCCTGGAAAAATCCATTCTTGGATACCAATTCTCCATCATAAATGTATACGCCCATTAATCCAAATATACTTCCAAAGAAACCTAAAAGAAAGTAAAGCAAAGGTCATATGGCAGGTTTTCTGAAGGAATTCCTTCCTGTTGACAGCCCTGCTCCTTCCCCCTGCTCCAGCTGGCAGGCTACTGGTTTGCATCCTAGGCTGACCTGAGGCTCAGCAGGCAGCATAAACTCTTGCTCCTTTTGCCTCAGTCTCCCAGGTACTGGGGTAAAACTTAAGTTTATTTCTTTTTGATGAAATTTGAGTATTTTAAAAAAATTTTTTCAAGACAGGGTTTCTCTGTGTAGCCCTGGCTGTCTTGGAACAAGCTCTTGTAGACCAGGCTGCCTTCGAACTCAGAGATCCGCCTGCCTCTGCCTCCTAAATGCTGGGATTAAAGGCGTGTGCCACCACGACCTGGCAAATTTGAATACTTTAAAAACATTTCACTCAATCAGGTAGTGGTGGTGCATACCTTTAATCCCAGAACTCAGGACGCAGAGGCAGGCCTATCTCTTTGAGTTCAAGGCCAGCCTGGACTAGAGAGCTAGTTCCAAAACAGCCAGGGCTACACAGAGAAACCCTGTCTTGAAAAAACAAAAGAAAAAAATTCAGTTGATTTATATATAAACAAAAATATACATATTACTATATGATGACTACAAAACAAACACATAAAGAGACATAAGACTATTTTAAAAAATAATTTAACAGCCTTACAGCTTTAGATTGCTGATTCATTCAAATATTCGTAAAATGCCTGCTTTTAGCATTTCATTGTATCTTTTTTTCTAAAATTTATTTATTATGTATATAGTATTCTGGGATATATGCCTACATTCCTATACAAGGCACCAAATCTCATTATAGATGGTTGTGAGCTACCATGTGGTTGCTGGGAATTGAACTCTGGACCTCTGGAAGAGCAGTCAGTGATCTTAACCTCTGAGCCATCCCCCCAGCCCCCATTTCATTGTATCTTGACTTTTCCTATTGCTATGACCACATTTTTATGAGACAATGCATAATTATATATATGAAAGCTCATACATAAGTTTTAATGAATGAAGCAATGAATACAAGTTATGAAAGAGGACATAAAGCTAAATGTTTTTCTAGCTCTAATTTTGTCATAGATTAATTTGTTTTATTTTGGTAGTGGGTAAATGCATAACTACATAAAAATATACTTGAAGGCTGGAGAGATGGCTCAGTGCTTAAGAGCACTGGCTGCTCTTTCTGAGGACCGGGGTTCAAATCCCAGCACCCACATGGTGGCTCATAAACTCCAGTTCTAGGGCTTCTGACACCCTCACATAGACAGTCATGCAGGCAAACACCAATGAACACAAAATAAAAATAAATTATATATTTAAATAATATACACTTGACAGTAAAAGTGTAAAATCCAATGTGAAGCACCACAGCTTCTGTTCCAAATACCTACTCTACTTTAACTGTAAGTTCACTGAGTTGCGTAGTCTTTGGCCTACTTTCCATGTGTGATGTTATTTGCAACTACTTTTTGAAATAATAAACTTTATTGTTAAGATATCCTTAAAGGGGCTGGAGAGATGGCTCAGAGGTTAAGAGCACTGCCTGCTCTTCCAAAGGTCCTGAGTTCAATTCCCAGCAACCATATGGTGGCTCACAACCATCTGTAATAGGGTCTGGTGCCCTCTTCTGGCCTGTAGGCATACACACAGACCGAATATTGTATACATAATAAATAAATAAATATTTAAAAAAAAAAGATATCCTTAAAGTACAATATTTGTTACCTAATACTCCAGTCTAAGAACTGGTCAAAGCCAGCATCAGGTTCTGTATTTACTATTAAGTCTCACTAATAAAGAAAACTGGCTCAGTGAAATTCAGACCCTAAGATTTCTGGAGCACTGTTGGCCTATGGAAACGTACAAGGACCACATCTTACAGTACAGCTGTAGAAGAGGATACAGGTGATGGTTTTTACAAGCTCTAAACTTTTTTTTTTCTTGAGACAGGGTTTCTCTGTAGCTTTGGATCCTGTCCTGGAACTAGCTCTTGTAGACCAGGCTGGCTTCAAACTCACAGAGGTTCGCCTACCTCTGCCTTCCAAGTGCTGGAATTAAAGGCATGTGCCACCACCACACTGCAGCTCTAACCTTTTAATGTATCTCATTTTGAGTATAAAATTAAGCATGGCATGTGACTTTAAAAATATGCCCAAAGGCATTTTAAATTTTAATTTTTTAAAATATTTATTTATTTATTTATTATGTATACAATATTCTGTCTGTGTATGTGCCTGAAGGCCAGAAGAGGGCGCCCGACCTCTTTACAGATGGTTGTGAGCCACCATGTGGTTGCTGGGAATTGAACTCAGGACCTTTGGAAGAGCAGGCAATGCCCTTAACCACTGAGCCATCTCTCCAGTCCCCTTTAAATTTTAATTTATAAAATTAAAATTTCACAAATACTAAAACAACAAAGTACTTGTTGGAGCTCAAAAGCCCCCCAAGATTCCACATGTTAGAGAATTGTTTTTTTCTTTTTTCTCCCTATTAGGTCATTGGAGGCATACCCATGATCAGGATTGTGGGTCCCTAGTCTCTTCCCCTCTATTTTTGTTTCTTGGCCATCATGAAATATATAGCTTATTCTGTCTTGCACATCCTGATATAATGTCCTGCCTTGCCACCAAGACCCAAAGTCAATGGACCAACAGCTGGAAGTCCCCAAATTTTAAGACAAAGCAAACTTTATCTCTTTATAAACTGACCTATCTTCGGTATTTGTTACAGTGACAGAAAGTTGTCTAACAGCATACAAGGATACGTATTACATCAGTATATATAAATAGACCTACTACATTCTTATAATGGCTATATAGTCTACTGTCTAATAATATTATCAGATATGTATGTAACACTTGTTTCAAATGCTTTACGGACACCAACAAACTACAATCTCTAAAGCAGACACTTGTAAGCTCATCTTATTGATGAAGAAACTTGCCCAGGCTCACACAACAGAATGGACTCAATAGTTGTTGAATTCAGGCAGTGTGGCTCTGGATCTTCTTTTACTTCACATTTTCTATATTCCAAAGCAACCTCAACTATGCTATCTAACCAAAATGATTATCCATTCAACCAGTTTTTCTGTTTGTTTGTTACATCTGTTACCATTGCTAAAAGTAATTGCTTTGGCATCTATGTTTTTTTATGTAGGATAAATTCTTATTCAAACATCTTAGCAGGCACAGGTAAGGTTTTTGTTTTCTACTTGTTGGCTGACATTTATTTGTCAGTCTTTCCTTATTGAAATATTACAGTTTCAAATTTTTATTTTATGATCCTGACTTACAAATATTCTTCCTAAACTCAGTTTGGCTTACCATTTTTTTTTCATGAGTGTTGTACTATCATAGCAAAATAAAGAATAAGATATCAAAAAACACCCTAATATAAATTCTGACATGTCTTTCATCACACAATTCAACAAACTTTAAGGCAACCCAGAGACCTTGACTATATCTTCTTTTCTTTTTGCAGATGTATATAACTACATATATAGTATGCATATATAAGGTACTTATTCTAAATATATGAATTGTTGGATTTAACCTTCATAGCAACATATGAGGGAGGTATGAAAACTAAGAACTACATTTTACAGATGAGAAAAATGAAGCACAAAAAGTTGAGTAACTTTCTGGAGGGCACATGGATAACTGATGAACTGCAGATTTGAGCACTGTAACTTCAAAACCAAGGTTTTTAACGACTCTTTATGAAATGACAAATCAAACTGCTTGATATTTTCAAGCCTGTGAATTTGTCTTTTGGACAAGCAGAACAATTAAATTTTGCTTTAAAAGTATTTACATTTGGGCTGGAGAGATGGCTCAGCGGTTAAGATCATTGCCGACTCTTCCAAAGGTTGTGAGTTCAATTCCCAGCAACCACACTGTGGCTCACAACCATCTGTAATGAGGTCTGCTGCCCTCTTCTGGCCTGCAGGCATACACGCAGACAGAATATTGTACACATAATTAATAAACAAATAAATAGATAAATAAATACTTAAAAAAAAGGAAATTCAAGGTTTAGCTGGGCGGTGGTAGCGCACGTCTTTAATCCCAGCACTTGGGAGGCAGAGACAGGCAGATCTCTGTGAGTTTGAGGCCATCTGGTCTACAAGAGCTAGTTCCAGGACAGGCTCCAAAGCTACAGAGAAAGCCTGTCCCGAAAAACCAAATAAATAAATAAATAAATAATAAAAAAACTTACATTCAATGTTATCAGAGGAGAGATAGCTTTCTAAAATATTCTAGAAATTGTGACAAAATTAAGTTTGGGGTTTTTATAACCATATTTACTTGAAAATGATTGGAATTATGGACTTTACTCAAACTTGGAAGTGTTGACGTGAAATCCTAGGCTATTAAAAAGCACAACTTCGCCAGGCAGTGGTGGCTCACGCCTTTAATACCAGCACTCGGGAGGCAGAGGCAGGCGGATCTCTGTGAGTTTGAGACCAGCCTGGTCCTAAAAGAGCTAGTTCCAGGACAGGCTCCAAAACCACAGAGAAACCCAGAATAAAAAAACAAAAAAAAAAAAAAAAAAAAAAAAAAAGCGCACAACTTACTGTACAGACTTAGAGAGGCCCATATGTCTAAGATCAAGAGACATGGTATTTCTGTTAAGTTGATGTTGTGGGGAAAAAACACGTTTGGGTGTTTATTTCTCAAATGCCCAAACTTTGGGGTGACAAAGGAAAGAGACATACAATAGAACATTCTGATGTACAAAAAGCCACTCTTATATATACAATTTTATATGTAGCTATCCAAGATATAAACCAGGATAATATTAATGTCCAAATCCTCACTCAAAAATTTAATAACAGTATCATAAATAATTTAAGCATATGTTCAAAGGGAATTACTACAATAAAGGAAGTTTTTTGGTTTAGTTGGTTGGTTTTTTTTTCTTCTAAGTTATTTACCATCACTTAAGAAAAAGGTTACAGTAAAAAGTCAAAACATTACATTGAAATAAAACATCATGTGATGTCTTTAAAAGAGATGAAAATCATTTCATGTCCAACACCTTCCATTTTAGGAGTAAAATATGTAAGTTATTTGTAGTGTCTTCACAAAGGAAGAAGCAATAAGGATAAACACACCAGGACTCCAAAACTGAGGGCAGGAGCAAGCTACACTCTAAGAATCAACCTACTTTTCCATATCACAAGGAAGCCATTGATTTCAAATACAATTCTCTAAGGGCAAGACCATGACCAGTTCTTTGTAACAACAGCACCTTTGCATTCAGAGCCCATGCACTGAAAGACTTAGGGAAATCTACAAATATAAGAACATAAATCTTTGTCCAGTTTCTTTTTAAGATAGGGTCTCCTTATGTAACCTGCTTGGTTTCAAACTCATGCTGATACTGCCTCAGCCTCCTGAGAGCTGGGATTAGAGGTGTGCAGCACCAAACATGTCTGATGTAGTTATTTAGAAATACATACCAGAATAACACCAGTAGCATAGACACTGAGATTGACAATTAATAAATGGGATCTTCTGAAACTAAAAAGCTTCTGTAAGGTAAAAGACACTGCCAGTAAGACAGAACGGTAGCCTACTGAATGAGGAAAGACCTTCACCAACCCCACATCAGACAGAGGGCTGATCTCCAAAATATATAAAGAACTCAAGAAACTAGATATTAAAATACCAAATGATCCAATTAAAAAATGGGGTACACATTTAAAGAGAATTCTCAATAAAGAATCTCAAATGGCCGAGAAAACAACTGTTCAGCATCCTTAACCATCAGGGAAATGCAAATCAAAACAAATCTGAGATACCATCTTATACCTGTCAGAATGGCTAGGATCAAAACCACTAATGGCAGCCTGTGTTGGAGAGGATGTGAAGCAAGAGGAACACTCTTTCAAAGCTGGTGGAAGTGCAAACTTGCACAGTCACTTTGGAAATCATTATAGCAGTTTCTTAGAAAATTGGGACTCAATCTACCTCAAGATCCAGCTATACCAATCTTGGGTATATACCCAAAGGCTGTTCAGTCATACCACAAGGACACTTACTCAACTATATTCATAGCAGTATTATTTGTAATAGCCAGAACATGGAAACAACCTAGACACCACTCAACTAAAGAATGGATAAAGAAAATGTGATACATTTACACAATGGAGTATTACTCAGCTATAGAAGACAATGACCTCATGAAAATTGTAGGCAAATGGATAGAACTATAAACAATCATACTGCATGAGATAACTCAGACCCTGAAGACAAACATGGTATGTATCCGCTCATACGTGGATATTCAGTGTAAAGTAAAGGATAACCAGACTATTCTCCATAGCTCCAGGGAGGATAAATAACAAGGAAGACCCAAAGACGGAGGCATGGACTTCCCTGGGAATGGGAAATGGAAAAGATAAAAGATCTCTTGGTCAAACTGGGGGTAGCGTGGAGAAGGGGGGGTGTTGCAACACAAAAGATTGGGTTGGGCAGCTTGGGGGAGGGATGGAAAGAAAGATTAATGAAAGAGATGTCTTGATAGGGGGCCATTTCTGGGGTAGGAAGAAACCTGGTGCCAGGGAAACACCTAGGAATCCACAAGGATTACCTCAGCTTAGACCCCTAGCAATAGTGGAGAGGGTGCCTGAACTGGCCATCTCCTGTAATCAGATTGATGACTACCCTAATTGTCAGCAGAGAGCCTTCACCCAATAACTGATGTAAGCAGATGCAGATTCCCAGCCAAGCACTGGGCAGAGGTCCAGGAATCCTGTTGAAGCGAGGGAAGAGGGATTGTGAGAGTTGGAGGGGTAAAGGGGGGTCAAGGCCATGATGGGAGAACCCACAGACAGCTGACCTGAGCTCCTGGGAGTTCATCAACTCCAGACCAACAGCTAGGGAGCCTGCATGGGACTGATCCGGCCTCTGCATATGTATGACAGTTGTGTAGCTTGGTCTGTTTGTCGGGCTCCAAGCAGTGGGATCAGTACCTGTCCCTGACATTTGAACTGGCTTTTGGGAAACTATTCCCCATGCTAGGGTGCCTCACCCAGCCTTGATGCAGGAGAGGATCTTGGTCCTGCCTCAACTTGGTGTGCCATGCTTTGTTGATGCCCATGGGAGTCCTACCCCTTTCTGTACGGAGATGAGAAGTGGAGGGGGTGGGTAAATGGGGAGGGAGGGAAAGGAAGAGAGGAGGTAGGGAAAACTGTGATCAGTATGAAAAATAAATGAATAATAAATACATATTAGAAAGCCTTGTTTGCTTGTTTGTTTTTCAAAACAGGATTTCTCTGTAGCTTTAGTGCCTGTCCTGGAAACAGCTCTTGTAGATCAGGTTGGCCTCAAACTCACAGAGATCCACCAACCTCTGCCTCCCAAGTGCTGGGATTAAAGGCGCGCGCCACCACCGCCCGGTTTACATATTATTAGAAAGTCTTTAAAACTTACCAAGTTGAATGTTTCTTATCCATACTGATTGTTTTGTTTCTTTTAAGATTTTCTCAAAGTAAACTCCAGCAAAGCCACTTGAAAAACATGCTGTGAGAACTGCCATGAGGCCTACAAACTGCGAGCCCGTTGAAATTTCCTTAGAATTCACCTCTTGAGAATCTGAAGGCCACTGAATAAAAATAAAAACAACACTAAAGAGGGCAGTGACATTGCAGCCAAGATTGACAACCTGAGTCCGAGCTTCCGGATCTACATGGTGGATGGAGAGAACCAACTCTCACGAGTTGTCCCCTGACCTCCACAAGTACACCATGGTGCTGCACCAGCGAAAGCACTTACAATGGAAGAGGATAGCTAAATCAGGCACAGCAGAAAGGAAGCTTGGTAGGGAGGGAACCACAAACTCCGCAAGGAAAATATAGTCCATCAGAAAATGAAAGACTGTAAAGTTACTACACCAGGCCTGGTACCCACATGATCTTGATGTTAATGACATGGTATATTAATTGACATCTTTTAACTACTGCTACCCATTCTCTGTGGGTACCTACTGTCTTTCTCAAACTAGCCCCTTTCTATTTTCATATCATTTTATAAATCTAGATTTTTCCTTCTCTCTCTTTTTTCTTTTTTTGGATTTTCAAGACTGAGTTTCTCTACATATCCTTGAGTGTCCTCGAACTCACTCTGTAGCCCACACTGGCCTCAAATTCAGGGATCCATCTGCTTCTGCCTCCCTAGTACCAGGGTTAAAAGTGTGCACCACCAGGCACAGCCCTTAATCTAGATTTTTTTCAAATTTAAAAATACATTATTTGAATCTACCCTAATTTGTTTAACATAATAATCTCCAGTTCTACACTTTCCAATAAATGACACAATTTCCTTCTTTATGGATAAATAAAACTCCTTTTTTTTTTCCTTTTCATCGTTACCAGAGACTTTTCAATGTTAAACAAATTTTGGAGAGGTGGGGGAGTATACTACATGGTCTAGGCTGGCTTTAACTCACAGCAATCCTGCCTCAGCTCCCAAGTGAAAGGGTTATAGGTATTACCATACAGGCTTAAACGCCTTTTTAAAAATTGTTTATTTGAGGGGGAGGGGAAACAGGAAAAGGGGAAAGAGGGGGGACTGGGGTTGGTATATAAATGAAAAGTAAATCTTTTTAATAAAAAAGTGGAAAAAGTATTTATTTTCATTTTTATGTACATTGGCATTTTGTCTGTGTATGTGCCTGTGTAATGGTTTTGGGTGCCCTGGAACTATAGTCACAGACAGTTGTGAGCCACCATGTGGGTGTTGAGATTGAACCCAGGTCCTATGGAAGAGCAGTCTGTGCTCTTAATCACTGAGCCATCTCTCCAGCCCTCTTAAAACCTTTTAACAATGAAAGATTCATTTCCTACTCAGTTATCCTTTACTGCAACAACATGACACTGATGGACTAATGCCTTGAGTCTTGAGACTGTCTCCTTTCTCCCTTGGCTCTCTCTATGTAACTACCCAGTATGCTTTCTATGAGGATAGAAACACTCTAGGTCTCTACTAATAGTGTAGCTGCTATCTCATGTGACTCCCAAGCATGCACGCACACACACATCATACACATAAACACATACAAAATAAAAAAGGAATACAAAAGTTGGGAACCATGACTCCATGAAGAATAAGAATAGAGAATCATTAGAAAGCTCTGAGAGTTAGGAAAACAGTATCAATAAAGACAGTAGATGCTAAAGGGATCAGAGGAGCACCAATGATCCTAGATGTTCCACGGTTCTCATAAAACCTAAGCTTCTTTCTTTCATATGCTGGGTTTTTTGTTTGTTTGTTTTGTTTTGCTTTGTTTTTGAAACAGAGTTTCATTGTGTCATGTCTTATTTTCTTGGATTTTTCCTTCATTTTTCTTTTTCTCTCTCTTTTCAAACGTTCTGGTTCATACCTACAATCCCAGCACTCTCCAGGCTGAAAGAGAAGGTGGTGAGCTCAATGCTATATGGTGAGACCTTCTCGGGGTGGGGGTGGGGAGGGAGAGCTGGAGAGATAGCACAGCTGTTAAGAACACTTGTTGCTTGGTTCCCAACACCCACATTTCAGCTCACAACTATTTGTAACTCCAGTTCCAGGGGATCTGACACATTCTTCTCACTTTCATGGCCTCCTGAATTCACACAGTATAAACTCATGTAGGCTTACACACATACATATAAAGTTAATAAAAAAAAATCTAAAGTCTAAAAGATGGAGATCTATATCTTTAGAACTAGCTCAGCAGTTAAGAGTGTGTGCTGTGTAATAACAAGGACCACAGTTTAGGTCTATGCATCCCGAGCATACCTATAATCCCAGCTCAGAAGTAGGCAGAAATAGGAAAATCACTAGGGCTTGTTGGCTTCCACCCAACCCATGAAAAGGTTAGGGAGAGACTTTGCCTTAAAGCAACTGGCAGAAAGTGATAGAGGACACCCAATGCCCTCCTCTGGCCTCTATACAAATATGTGTATACCCACAGACACATGCAAACAAATTTAAAAATAATTAAAAAAAAAAAAGGTAGGCATGCCTGTAATCTTAGCACTCAGAAGGCAGTCAACAGAGTTACCAGAGTTTGAGGACAGACTCATCTGCAGAGGAAATTCCAGACCAGCCAGGGTTACAAAACACAACTATGTGTGTGTTTGTGTGGTGCTGAGGACCAAGGCGAGCCCCCGTCAGTAAAGCTTTGCTGCAGCCCAACTGTTTAGTTCTTTACTATGAAAAATTCATTCACACGTTTATTTATTTATACCACATACTCTCAATGCAGTATTTGCTTACAGGAAGTCATAAAAAAAATCTGTCAGCATTTACTTGCTCAACAAGTAATAGAACCATATTCTCTATGCAAAATACGCCAAATTTTCAAGCTGTGATAGAAATGAAAGGCATACTTATCTTGAATAGTTACCTGCACAAAAGCAACTCCTGCCATCAGGATTACTAGGGAGAGCCACTGGTACACGCCTAATTTTTTACCAAGCATAGACACAGAAAATAACGCTGTTGTAAGTATTTTCAACTGATATGTAACCTAAAAGAGAAAACAGCAGTATTATTAATGCTTGCAGGTTTTTTGTTTGTTTTTAAAAAAGACAATTAGAAATGTATCTTAGATACCTGATAAGTGGCTGCATCTAGGTTTGACAGTGCCACATAGAGTAAATTATTCTGAAGAGTATATATCCCTGACGGAATAGCAAGCTTAAGGGTTTCCATGGGTTTATTGAGAATTTCATCATGCAGCACTCGATTCAGTGTTCTCACACTACACTCTAGAATACAAAATGGGGAAAATATCAGTAAAGTAGCCCTGAAGAAGTCATAAGCTCCTTTATAGGCCTCAGTTTTTTATTTTAAAACCAGAAAATTGGGGACAGGAAATGGGCTCAGCAATCAAGAGAAAGTATTGCTCTTGCAGAGGACCAGAGTTTGAATCCGAGTACCAAGACTAGGTAGCTTAAAGACACCTGTAACTCCAGCTTCAAGAAGATCCATTCAACACTTCTGACCTTTTGGAGCACCTGCACTATGGCACAAAGACAAACACAGACAAACACGTTCCTAAGCACTAGTATAGCAGGTATTGTTCCACCAGGTCCAGCTTTCCACAATGCTAGGGATGGAACTGAAGACTTCACTAATGCCAAGCAACTAAACTAGGAAGTACAACCTAAGCTGCTTCTCCAGCCCTGGAATTCACCTTGGTGTACTACAAACCTTGTTACGCTTGAGCTCACAAAGAGCTGGTTTCAGCACATCTAGCCACAATGCAACCATTCATGTTAAAGGTTTCCTGGGCTCCAGTGTTAATGCAGTAGGCACTTGTAATATCTAGACCTTAGCAAGAAAAGCTAACCTCCCTGCTGTCTTGCTATGCTGTCATGGTTTTCTTATTTTTTTAAATTTTTTTTATTTATTATGTATACAGTGTTCTGTCTGCGTATATGCCTACTCACCAGAAGAGGCCACCAGATCTCATTACAGATGGTTGTGAGCCACCATGTGGTTGCTGGGAATTGAACTCAGGACCTCAGGAAGAGCAGTCAGTGCTCTTAACTTCTGAGCCATCTCTCCAGCCCCTGTCATGGTTTTCTGCCTGCTGGTAGCTTCTTCATAGCCTGCTTTTATTGACTGCACCTTCTGAATCTGGCCTTCTGAGTCCTGGGAAGGAGCCAGGGCTGTTTTACGGTCTTCTTATCCTCTAGTGTACATATTATCCAGTCTCATCCTTGGCTTTATAGGTATCTCCAACTTAACATGAATCCAAAAGAAATCATTTGATTTGTCTCCAAATCTATCTTCTCTGTATATTTTACTGTTATACCTACATGCACAGCAGTTTAATCTAAAAATCATTTTAAAACTGTATTTGTCCTCTTTCCTGACCTTCATTCATATATATATATATATATATATCCAAGTCATGTTAAATGTTCAGCATTACTAGCAATTAGAAACATTCAAGTCAAAACCACAATGAAATATCTCTTCATACCTACTAGAATGGCTATAAAGAAGGGTAGGCAGGGACTGGAGCACAACTCAGAAGACAGCCATTTGTCTGGTATACATGAGGCTGTGTGTTTGAACACACACACACACACACACACACTAAGAAAGTGTATAATAGGAAGAAAGAAGTGGTGAAAAAATGAGAAGTTCATACACTGCCAGCAAAAATATAAAATGGCTGGCAAGATGATCCAGTAGGTAGGTAAGGGAGCTTGCTGCCAAGCCTGACAACCTGAGTTCAAGCTGCAGGATCCACATGACAGAAGGAGAGAATGAACTCCTACATGTGGTAGTCCTCTGACCTCCACACTTGCACAATGGCACACACTCACACACACACCCTCACAATAAATAAAGAATGAAAAAATTAATAAAATAAAATAGAATGGTACAGATACTGTGGGAAAAGTTTAATAATTCCTTAAAAAGATTTTTAGCAAGATGACTCTACGGGTAATGGTACCTGCTACCAAACCTAATGACCTGCATTCAATCCCTGGGATAGTCAAACAAAACAGATTCCCACAGTTGTCCTTTGACCTACATACACATGCCATGGTACATGCACACCCACCACATACATACATGCAGTACATTTCTTTTAGAAGATAAATGAAGAACAACCAGATGACAATGACCCAGCAATTCTGCTTTGGGGGAGGGAGGGCAAATACCTATCCCCCCAAAATGAAAGAAGAAACTCCAGATACTTGTATAGCTATTGTAGCATTAACCACTGTTCATCCCAACACGGTTCATGGTAGCCAAAAGGTATAAATAACCAGTGTTTATTAACATATGACTAAGAAAACAAAATGTGGTATATTATACAATGAAATAGTATAAAAAACAAAAATCTGATACATAAGCTTTGAAAATATGCTAGTGAATTAAGCCAGACAAAGGAGAACAAACACCATTATATAATCTACTTTATATGACATGTCTAGAATAGATAAATTCAGAAGCAGAAAAGATGAATGCAGAATTACTATTTAATAGTCATAGACTTTCTACTCAGCATACTGTGAAAGTTTTGGAAATAGTGATAGCCATACAACATTGTTAATATAAAATGCATCGTTGCAATGGAAAAATGTCACATACACATAGACACACACATGTGTATGCACACACATTATTGCAGCTTAAAAATTAAAGTCAGGTAACACACACCTATTAATCTAACACACAGAAGACTAAGAATGATGATCAAGAAATTGAGGCCAGCTTAAATAACATAACAAGGCACTGTCTCAAGAAAGAAAAAATTCACAATTGAATCCCTCAAAAACCTGCCTACAAAAGGCTAAGTTGAGGCTGGAATGTACCCCGATGTGAGAGCGAGTGCTGAGCACATGCTCAGGACATGCAAAGCCCAACATTCAATCTCTACCACCAAAGAATAATTAACTGTACGGTTCATAAGTTATATCCTAATGAAACTCCTTTAAATGTACCAAATGAGTGACTCACTGTTTGATTAGTCAATGGAACTAGAAAAAGTCTTTAGTAAAAAATTATTGTAGACTCTCTATAATTCAAAGAATTAGAGAACTTACTTTTTTTCAATTTAATAAACTATGACTGCAGTTGGATTCATATTCATAGTATTAACTAGGCATGGATCGTATTACAGACTGAACAGGATGGCTTTGGTGCCAGGAGGTGGTGGCACATGTCTTTAATTCCAGCACTCAGGAGGCAGAAGCAGGCAGATTTCTGTGAGTTAGAAGCCAGCCTGGTCTACAGAGCAAGCTCTAGAATAGCCAGAGCTACACAGAGAAACTTTATCCC